TATACAATTACGAAAATAAATTAGAATTTTAAATTAATTATTTATTTTTATCTATCAAAAATTTTTAATTTAATCTCAAAACATTAAATTTATATCCATTTATCGTTAAAAATGCCATTGCTTCATTAATGTAGCGAAAAAATTTCAATTATATCCTATTCCCATTAGTTTTAAAAATTCTTATATTGAAATTTATTAAATATTTAAACTTATATTTTATTTGTAATTTTCTGATTAAATTAAGCATCAATTTTAAAAAATCAATTTATTTTATCCAAAAAGTATGCAATAATACATACTTCTGAATGAGTTTACTTAAATAAAATTTACATATTCAATTGGATAAAAGATAAAGATTTTTTTTACAAACGTCGAACAGAATTTTAAAACCAAAAATATAATTTTTGAAAATTTATAATGGCCATTTTTATTATTTTTTTAGACATTTTGGATAAATTCCAAAAGAATTTTGGGCCTAACTCCATTTTTATAGGATATATTATACTTATATTTTATAACAGGGATTATACGATCACATTATAACCTAAGAGAAATTTTACTTTTGTAATTTGTTAAATTTACGAAAATATTATCTCTAATTTGAGAAACAGGAAATTTGCTTGAAGCCGTACATAAATTATTTTATGCTTAATTAATATTTCATCTTCAAACTTTGAAGAAATTAAAACTAGAAATTCAGAAGAAAATTTTAAAAATATATATATTATTCGTTCACTAATTATTATATTACTTCGAATTTAAAGCTCCATTTTTTTTTCACGCTTTCTAAATTAAAATCAGGTTGTATCTTAAGATACGGATACTCTTTATCACTCTTCAAATTCTTTATATTTTATTTTAAATACATTATTAATGTTTTATTCTTTAATGAATTCTTTTAAACTAAATTTTCTTTTAATTTTTTTTTTCTGAAAATTCTCTTTTAATAAGAGATAAATCTTCAATTCGAGATGCTTCTTAAACTAGAGAGTTCTCTTTATAACTCTTCAAAAGTGTATATTCTAATGAAAATTTTATTATAATTCTTGAGTATTTTACATTTTATGTTAATTATATTTGTTTTAAAGACATTATTAACCGTTTTTACTTTTTTAATAAACTCTATTAAATTATATTTACTTTTAATCATCATTAACTTTTTTGGGAAAATTCCTTTTTTTTTCAAAATGAAGATTGCATCTTAAATTCAAAATAATTTAATATTTATTCAAATTATGTTTCTTTATTTTCTAAATATTCATTTCTAGAAAATTTAGTAATGAATAATCATTAAACCTTGTTTAAATATTTAGAAATTTGAATTAATTTAAATCCGTCTATTATTATTAAATTTGTTAAATTTCAAGTAATATAATTTTATTAACAAAAGTTAAATTTAAAAACTATAAAATTTTATTTTTAAATACATTTTATTTTATAAATGTTTGCAAAATTAATAAAATATTATTAAATAAAATTTGTATATAAGCGCATAATTATAATTCATTCAATATATCAAACCTGTTGACACTATAATAATAATAAATATCAAAATATATTTTAAAAATTATTGTTAAACTCAAATATATGTAAGTTATTTTGTCAATCAATCTAATGTATTTTCTGAAGAACTCCATAGCTTTTGAAGTAGTAGATTATCAAATATTTGGTTTAAGAATGAAGTTTTTCAAGTGTTCTAATGGAATTCAATTTTTGAATAGATTAAGTATACACTGTGAAAGCCATCGAAATTTCTTAAACTTATTAAATATGCATCACTATTGTGTGATTTAAGCTTATAAAATTTCTCGCATTAAGTCTTTATAGCCGTTAGCAATGTACAGAATTCAAAAACAATCTTCACTACTTCCATTATTATCATCACATCTTTATTCTTTCTTCTCTGTCGCTTAATATAATAAATTTATTTTAAGATTTTTTTAGAAAGTGTAACCATACACTATTAATTTTATTTTTTATATTAAAATTTATTTTATGCTAAAATGTTTATGCAAGTTTACTTTTTAAAATCAATATTTCATAGCAAAGAGAAGTTACATTGCTTTAAAATAGATAATGTTTTTGCAATAGATACAATAAAAAAATAAATATCAACTAAATTTCTGTATTATATCATAATATTATGCCGAAATGTAAAATTTTATGCGTAAATTCAGTTTTAAAATATTTTTAAATTATCAAAAGAGGTATACATGTTTTTAGTTCGTATTATTCAACAAAAGAATTTTCAATATAAATTGTTTTATGTTAAGATACTTTGGTATATATTCTTATATAAAATTATCAAGTCATTTTACATGTAAACACTTATTAAATTCCTGCAAGAAAGCTTGATTTTTATAAGGTTAAGATATCTGTTTTTGACTAGTCGGCATCTCTCTGCAGGAAAGAAAATGAGAAGAATATCGTTAGAGGTGATGTTATAGGAAAATATTGAAGATATCATGGATGGACAATGTTAGAAATGTAATAGTAGTCAAGGGACAAGACCAGTTGATAACTCAAGAGGTCCTCATCACTAGGATTTCATTGAATGTACACGGTACAGAAATGTACCGTGTACTTTCAAGCTGAATTGGGACTTTCTGTATCTTTCTGTATAGACTTTCTGTAATGTAGGATAAATGATCTTTCTAGCCGGTTCTATAGGCAAGAAAAATCATTTAGCCTAAGCCTTAGATACAAAAAGCCCAAGTTTTTATATAAAAAGTATGATATGAAAATGATACCCATGTATATAATTTATATTAAAGGAAATTTTATGATCATGTATCCACATTATGACAGACTTTTGCATAATGACAAACATTTTCGCATTATATATTTACATTCGCATTATAAATATTATATTCAATTAATGAGTTAATATTAAAGCTGTATATAACTTAATACAAGGTAAATATATTACTAACACGAAATTATAATTGCATTAAAACACGTCATGATATATGCTGCATCCAAGTTAATGCTCTCAATATTATAAATTTTTATGTATATCAGTTATTAATAATATTATTTAAGAAATTATATTTCGAATTGGTGTAAAGATATACTGCCATTAAATATAATTAATTTTTACAGTAATTAATTTAACATCAAATATTTTAGGTTATTAATAAGTAATGCTGATTAACGATTATTAACATAATAAATTAAGTAATATTTAAAATATCATTAGTAAATTTTTCTTATTAATCATAAATTTTCGTATAAGTTCTATAATTTAATCAAAAATCAGAAATAAGTTCTATAATTTAATCAAATTATGAAACTCAAATAGTGATTCCAGCGGGTCCCAAGGCACAAAGATGCCCAAAATTTAAGGTTTTATGTAAGAAGATATCATATGAAAGCGGAATAAATTAAAGTTTCTTTTGATAAGTGGATATATCTATATTTTATTGATTTTATTCTTATATCTGTATGGGTTTCGGAGAAGAATGAGACTATATTTGTCATTGGTTCGAGATCCATCTCATTTTTTTCAACGCTTGCATTTTCGTAACAGCGTTTTCCATCAATGCTTTATGTTATAGATTTCATTTTCCAATATAGTTTCATATATTTTAAAAATATTTTACAAAATTATTGAAGAAATTTCATATAATTTTATCTTACTTGGCTATAAAGAAGTTTCTTCTTGGTTATCCAAAATAATTACAGTACTTTTATTAAGCTTATATTAATTTCTTTGTCATTTATTTGCATTTTTAAGAAATTAGAAATGAAATATAAATTAACTTTTCATAAATATAGATTGAAATGTTAATCTTTTATTACATTGTTAATTGTGGATTAACTTGAAAATAGGGTCCACTAGTAGCCGAATGGGTAAGCCACAAACACTGATAGTTACTCGCAGTTTGCTCTTCATCAACGGACTGGACCATGAATTTTTCCGAATTTTCTTTACATGTATAATAGAAAAGTCCTCTGGCTAAGCACTCTCCCTTGGCAGATCGCCCATATGTTGTGTTGTCTTATTCCATCAACTAATCATTTGAAAATGATTCAGATCAAAAATAGTTAATAATCTATAATTAAGAAGAAAGGATAAAATATTACAATTATTATTACATTGAATATAAATTAATAAAAATATTTTTATATAAAATTCTTAATAACGAAAGTTTTACTTTGTGTAAATTTATAAAAACAAAAAAGTGAAAAAGACATTTCTAAAATTTATAACTGTAATTATTCATAATTACTGTCAAGAAAATACTTGTAATAAATTACTTTTTTTTATTTAATTATTATTAAGGGATTAATTTGATAGTTCTATATCTTTAATTATATTAATTATATTTATAATTGTGGTATGGTTTATCTCAGTCATCATATAATGAAATTATATATAATGAACAATATTAATAAGTTGAAATTATAATTCTGAGTAATAAGAAATTAAAAAGAAGCCAAAATTATGTAAATAGTTATTAAAATTTGTTTTTATAACTATGTTATAGATTATTGTAAAGGAAAGAAAACGTTTTAGTATATTCTAATATATATAATAAATCTACAGTCCTGATAAAGAAGGTACTAATAGGCAAACCTGTTAGAAACCTCTTTAGCTTTATCCAAAACTTCTTCAGAGTCTTCTTTTATCTGGGCACCTCTTTATCCAGGATTCCTCCAGATCATGAACACAGAGAACTCCCAAATAGTGTTATCAGTAGGTTAATTTAGTGTGGCACCAAGTCGCATAAGACTCACAAAATTCAATCTATTATGTAAAAAAACATGTTATTAAAGTCATTATCTTTCATTATCTAATTATTATAAATTATATTCTTCCACTATCCCTAGATTTTATCATGCGAAAAACTGTTTTTATTTTTTAAACGAATAAAAATAACAATAAATCTAATAAAATTTATAAAATGAATTATTATTTTTTTAATTTAATTTTTGTGTTTGATATTACGTAACATTATTTATTGAGTTCAAGTTCATGCGTTAAAATTAATTAGTTCATGCTTTTTCATATTGAACATGCTCCGAACGGATAAAATTCGATTGGATCTTGTTAGTCACATGATACTCAACTGTTCAGGAGATAGCAGTCAACTCATTCTTCGCAGATCTATCCTAAGAGCAGGATTTTATTTCCTCTTCTTCTGCTACAGGTAAGCTTTGTACTTCATTATAAAAAAATTTAAAATAAAAAATATATTTTTCTATAAATTTACATTAAATTTTATTAAAATTAAATCTCGAATTTTTCTTATTTTTACCATATTTAAGATTTCTTCATTATAAAAGTTTTTTTAGAGAAAATTACGATTTAATTTTGTGTATAAAAATTCTAAACTCTTATGTATAAAGCTTGAGCAATTTTTTAAATTATTTTTATAAATTATAAAAAAAATGAATTTCGACTTTTGTTTACGTAAAATTAATTTTAAAACTTGTAATATTTTTATTAATTAAAAGAAGAAATAAGTTTTGANAAACAACGGACACTGACGGGAGCATAAAAAAATGACCGCTGTTTAGAGGTAGCCGTTGTTGGAAGGTGGCCGTCATTGGAGGTTCTACTGTACATTTTTTATGTATTATTTTAAACAAAATTAAATCTTATAACGCGTTTCATTAATTAAAAAAATGCTATAAACAATGTTTAAATATACATAATTCAGTTTTAACAGAGAGCAATATCTTCATAAATATTTTTAATAAAGTTTTAGTCTGTTAGTTAAATAAAATAAATCTTTATAATCCTTTTAGCATTTTGGGATTGTTTTAAGCATTACATTTTATAAATTAAATTGAGTAACAAATTATATTATTTCGTAATTTATATAGGAAATTTTAAACTCAAAACTTAATCTCCTTATCTTTATTTGACTTCTTTAAAGGATTATAAGGGAAATATATTAAAAATTGATCATAGTAATTGTTCTGTAATTTAAAAGTTATCGTTAAAAGAACTGATGATTAAGTAAAATTAAAATAATAATTAAATTTAAAAGAATGTAATAAAACTAAATTAAATTAAAATGAATTCTTTAAAAAGAAAATATGATAATTATTATTATTATATAACGGGAAAAAAATCATTTATGTTTGTGATAAAAATGAATCATTTGCTTTTTTAAATGTAAATATTGTTGAATTGTAAGGTAGTTATTTTTATACATTGAGATTCTCAAACAGTATATCGTGATCTCTCAGAAAATTTACATCATATTCTTAGGTAATATTATACTGTTTTAATAAAATAAAAATCTTTATGGAGATTCTAAAATTCTATAAATTCTATTCTTATACAGTATAATACATATAAAAGTTACTTTCAGTTAGTTCAAATCAGGCTGGTTTCAATCACAATGATGACTATTCGCCTTGTATCATACTACATTCATGCGAAACTGATATAAAAAAAATAAATCAATAGAAAACAATCCATTCCTGTGCTTTATATATTTAAAAAACACAGGAAAAAAAGAAATGAATTTTTTAAAAATCAATATGCAATGATAAAAAATTCAAGTTAAAAAAATACCAATTATTATTTTATTGAGTAATCAATATAAAATTTTTTGTATAAGACTTAATAGAAAAAATAAATCGATTTAAAACAAATTATTAATAATTACAGTAATTTTTAAAATAATTTGAAAGATATTATTAAGATAGAATTATTTTTAATGAATGAATTAAATTAATAAAATTTAATATGTATATAGTAAATTATTATTATTATATACTGTAGGCTACATTTTTAATATAATTTAATAAAAAAATATAATTTAATTTTATAACATAATATTTTGCACGTACAGTCAAACTTCGATTTTAGCGAGCTCTTCTAAAATTGGTATTAAAATACCAATTTCAGAGTATGGAACTAAACTGAAATAAGTCACTTCAAGCAATAAGAAATATAGAATGTGTACAATAATGAGATCTAAATCCAAGTTTGAATTCGAGTTTGAAAGTCAAGCGATTTGATGATATAATTTATTTACAATCAAAGTAATGCTATTGAGAACGAGATTACGACTTTCAACAAAACAATTAATACGCCCTATAAAAATCAAATGACAAAAATCAATAAATACATATAAATTATAAAAATCCAGCAACGAGTTGCTTAACTTTTCTGGCAATATTTGGTAACGCCATCATATTTTATTGTTAAAATTTTTTATATTTTTAATTATTATATAATGGAAAATGGCAAGAAGCTTAATTTTGAGGTAAAAATGGGTTTTATAAAAAAATTGTAAATGCTAATAACGAGTAAAATTATCATTAAGTCCGACTCTACTTGAGATATGACACAAGACCCACCAAACCGTTGACCTTTAACCATCAAATTTAATAGCATCAAAATACACTTAATACACAAACCTCCCTGCAAAATTTCAGAAATTTTTGACACAAAGCACAAGAGCTATTAAGTTTCAAACAGGGTGAACAAAATCTTGCCCCCATAAACATCCATACATACAGAAAAAAAAACCCTCTTTTTTTACATTTCTCGACGTTTCAAGGTTTCCTGAATCGAAAAATATAAAAATCTGTAGGGTCGTTTTTTTGATCGATCACCATACTTTCCCACTGTTATGTATAACATGCAAAAAATTTAAAATTAATTTATAAATTAACAATTTTGAAAAATGTACTTTGCAATGAAAAATTGCTTATTTATTAAATCTGATATTGAAGACGAGTTCTCTATTTAATATTTCTGAGGAGGTTCCGTTCAACAGTGTTCGTCTTTATTTACGGTGGTTACGCTAGTTAGAAGGGAGCTATTTACAGGTTTGACTGTATTATACTATAACAAAATGAATTCTTCTGGTTAAAAAATCGGTATAATCTTTATGAGGACGTATTAAAATTTTTTATGTTCTCTATAAGGATTTTTTTAAATCTCTGTGAGGATTGTGATACGATCTAGATAACTCGATTCAGACTTTGCTTAAGAGACTATAAAATAAATGCCTATCCTATGAAATTTATTAAAATTAGTTATTGAAGACTCGTATAAAACAGTCTCAACAGACTTCTCAGCGAATTTTTCTATATCACTTATTCGAAATGTCATCAATACAATGGTGAACACTTTGAAAGCTTGAAATGATGTCATGTATCCAAATGATTTATTGGATGTCTAAATTTTGATATATAACGTATAACAACTGAACTATCCAGTTGAAAATTTCCCATGAAATTTAAAAAACTTGTGTGACTCACCACTCATTAAAGGATATCGATATTTATTTGAGACACCATATTTTATATATCAATAATATACTATATAAGAGGTAATTAATGAGTGATTTATAAGCCAATTTAAAAATGCTATTCTATGAATAGCATTCTTAAATTGGTTTGAATAGATTCATATACTCTATGATGTCCAAAACTTAAGCAACAATGTAATTTTTAAGCGATGAAATTGTGGAAAAGGGCTTGTTGCGATCAGTACAATGAACACCCAATTCAGTAGAAAAAAGATTCGTATGCAAATATCAGGAAGAAGACATCACGGGTGACGTGAGGGCATGCAAAACGCGTGCAGTCAGCGCGCGTAGTGCGACACTACAATAAAAAGAAATACGAAAGGCGCTATTAGGCCTAAAGATATTTGCTGCAAATTCAAGTGAGTTCGTACGTGCAATACGGCTAGAAGAAACCATTTGGACGACTTTACACGTTGGTAGATTATTCCCAGGTGATTTCTTGTGGAATTACGGCATAAACAATCGTTGCTTGAGTTTTGCACACCAGTGTATTTGTAATAAATTTGAATGGGCTATTATAATGCCGATTATCCAATAGCGGTTTTAGATTGTTCGAGGCCCTAAGCTAGCATATATAAGTGGCGAAGTTTCTTTTATATAAATTTATATGCCGTACAATACGATAATCAATAGGATTCTAGCTAGCACTTTATTCCGAGTACTGGATTAAGGCAAGCAAATACAGGATGGACTAAATGTCAGTTAACCAGGATATATTTTTAAGAACGGTTAAAACAGATTCGAAACAGCTGAATATTATTATTTCTGATTCGATTGCTTCATTGGAAGCAGTCGAATCACAAATAAAGCATACAGTTCTCGGTTGATCGACTTTTGGGCCACCATGTATTTGCTAACATTGAAGGCGTCCAAAAGTGGAAGGCACCAGATGAAAGTTAATAAAATAATAGTTTACCCTGTGCCTAAAATCACCACTGTATTTATTACAACTTAATTTTGTAATATGACTTTTTAAATATTTAAGAAATTGACATTTGTAGACAATTTTTCATGAATAATATATTTTTTTTTTACATATTGAATTTATTTTATTTTTATAGTTTATCTGTTAACAGAAAATAAAATATATTCACAATAAAATAGTCCATAAATTTAAAATTAAAATAGACATAAAAATCACTTTTTTTAAATATAAACAATTTTCTTCTCTAAGAAAAGCATTAGAAATAAAATAATTTTTAATAAAGTTAAAAAAATAATTCATTTAAAATGTTGCTATTCAATGGTTAAAGAATTTAATTTAACATTATACAGTGTGGCCCAAAAATCAGTTAACCAAAGATATTAAAAAGTATATTAATTAGTTAATTGACTTCTGGGATTCTTATATTTTCTGGGCTATTCTTTATTATGATCTAATCATATGCAATGAAAGCATATTTATTAATTTACTTTCTTCTCATTTCTCTTTGTTATTTATCACTTGAATTATTCATATTTAGAAATAATAAGAGGAAAATTTTGATTGATTAAAATTTAATTTAAAATCTATATTAAATTAAATTC